TAGGTACTCATGATGTTGAGTGGGTGATTGATACAGCCGCATCATTTCACGCTACTCCACACCAGAACTTATTCACATCTTATAAGTCAGGAGACTTTGGAGCTGTGAAGATGGGAAACACGAGTTTCTCGAAGATTGTTGGCATTGGTGATGTGCACATAACAACCAATGTCGGATGCGCACTTGTGTTGAAAGATGTTCGACATGTTCCGGATCTTAGATTGAATCTTATCTCCGGTACAGCTTTGGATCAGCAAGGATATCTTAACTGATTCAAAGAAGGTACGTGGAAGTTATCTAAAGGTTCCTTGGTTGTTGCAAGAGGCCATATTTGTGGTACTCTTTATAAAACTCATGCAAAGTTGTGTCATCCAAGTCTTAATGCTGTTGAAGAAGAGATATCACCAAACTTGTGGCACCGGAGGCTAGGCCACTTGAGCGTGAAGGGATTGACAACTCTTGCAAAGAAGGAAGTCATTTCCATGGGCAAAGGTGTTGCCCTAGATCCATGCGAACACTGTCTATTCGGGAAACAACACAGGGTTTCCTTCAGTTCTACCAGGAAGAACTATTCAGAGTTACTCAGTCTTGTACACTCTGATGTCTGCGGACCCATTGAAGAGGAGTCACTTGGAGGAAGCAGATATTTCGTGACATTCATTGATGATGCATCACGAAAGGTATGGGCTTATTGTTTGAAGAGTAAGGATCAAGTGTTTGATCGCTTCAAATTATTTCATGCCATGGTAGAAAGAGAAACAGGGAAGAAGCTGAAGTGCCTGCGTTCAGACAATGGAGGAGAGTACACTTCCCGGGAGTTCTCAGCATATTGCGCCGCATATGGAATCAGACATGAGAAGACGGTTCCACGAACTCCGCAACACAATGGTGTAGCCGAAAGAATGAATCGAACCATTATGGAGAAAGTTCGTTGCATGCTGAGTATGGCTAAACTACCTAAGCCATTCTGGGGTGAAGCTGTGCTGACAGCTTGTTATCTTATAAACAGGTCACCTTCTGTTCCTTTAAACTTTGAAGTGCCAGAGAAGAAATGGTCAGGAAGAAATGTTTCTTACTCTCATTTGAAAGTGTTCGGGTGCAAGGCATTTGCACATGTGTCCAAGGAGTTGAGACATAAGCTTGATCTCAAGTCAAACCCATGCATCTTCATCGGGTATGGTGATGAAGAATTCGGATACCGGTTGTGGGATCCCGAAGTGAAGAAAGTTGTACGAAGCAGAGATGTTGTATTTCATGAAAACGAGTTTCATGGGTGTGATCCAATAATCCGCCAACAACATACTCCAGAAGACGAAGTGCCTGTATCATCAAACATTCCTCTCAGCGACGAGGAGATGCATGATTCTACTGAACAAGAGAGTGATGGTTCAGTAGGTGATGATGATACTCACAGTGATGATATTCCTCAGCAGGGGGAGCCTTCATCTGAAGACGAAGCTGAAGGTATTCATGTTCGACGTTCTATGCGAGGCATAGTTCCACAGAGAAAGTATTCCACATCTGAATGGATACTTGTTGCCAGCGAGGGGGAGCCAGCGAGCATCACAGGAACAAGAGAAATTAAGAAAAAGGTGGAGGGGGAGATTTGTAAGGAACTTCCACCTTCTTTCTTGGAAGTTGCTAAGAGACATCTCACACCTTCTTGGAAGGAGGTCTCCAACATATGAACATGGAAGGAGATTATTTGGAGATAGCTAGGAAGCTCCCTAGCCATGTGAATGGGAAGCTTGGATGCAACTTCCTCTTGTCTCTAAACTAGTCCTATAAATAGAGTGCTCCATGTTGTTCATTAGTATCAGTTTTAGAAAGTGAGAAAAGTGTGTGAAGAGTGAAATACACTTAGAGTAGAAGTGTATTGGTGAGGATTGGTTTTTTGTAATAGTTGAGTGTGAGAGTTTGCTCCTCCTATTGTAATTCTGTTCTTGATATTGAATAGAAGAATTTTCCAATCCCAACAAATATGTGTATTACTCCTTTGATGTCATATATAGTGAAATCATTCTGCCATGTTTAATGTTTTCAATGCTCTATAATAATTTCAAAATACTCCGCATAACAATAGGATTCTTAAATGACACTACTTTACATCTATTAGGATGAATATAGGAGGCGTTTGGTAGGACGTAAAATAATTATTTTATATCTTTTATGATTTTTTAAAATTTATTTTTGTCATGTCATTGTCATGTAAAATCTCAAAACTTATTATCTTCTTCTCAACCATGATCTCTATTTATCCAGATTTTTATGAGACATACATTTAAATTTAGAATATCTCACTTAATTGTAATGAATGTTTTTAAGAGTTATGAAGGCATGAAGCTTCCTCCTTTTTCTATATACTAAGTATATGCTACGTATTATCTAGTAGTATATATTTGCAGCCATAGTATGTATATAACAAATTTCAAGTATGGGCACATTAAATGATAGCGTAATTATGTTTTGAACCTTGAAGACTTTGAAAATAATCTTAAATAATCAATGTTTTATATTTGACCATAAAAAAAGGTTTTGATATTTGATACTAGATTATTTTTCAAAATAATATTTTCAAATAATCCCAACATCTTAACCATGATTTCAAAAAAAATCACAAACATTGTCAAGATGATCTCAAGGCCAAATAAACCTATGGATGAGGATTCCCTAATTAGTGATTGACGGATTGATACGATGCTCTTGGTTCACGCTTATTTTTGTAATGAGCAATGCTTGGTGTACCCCAAATTTGTACACAAAGTGTACACTGCCTGTGTGCACAGGCATTTGGACAGAAAATTCTGCCCTTTTCAAATGAATTACCCGCGTACCCAGATAACTAGGGAGAGTGGGTACAAATTGAAGTACAAATTGGGATACAAATAGGGGTATTTATAGCATTCCCTAATTAGTGATTGTAATTGTAGACTTTGTGATTACTTATCAAAAAATGACAAGTGGATATCCGGAAGTGTGGTATTGTGTTTTGTGACGGGAGGAACTCTGGATAGTGACCGGATTAGTGATATCGTTAAAACAGTTGAAGATGCCGGTGGCTTGGGAGTTATCGTTTCGCTGCCGCAAGTGTCCGCCGTAGACTTTCACGACAGTGACTTTCCTTGTGTATATGTAGATTTCCTCGTCGGATCTCAGATAGTTCAGTACCTCGGTTCCACAAGGTATGTATATTCTCCCTATTCTTAATGCAAAGGAATGAAAATTATACGTATAGTACAAAAGGCAATTATGTACAAGTTTACAAGGAGAGAAATACAAAAGGCAAGGTTATGCATTGCATGTATATGGCAAAACAAATTAAATTATGTAACTGATGCATCTGAACTGGAAAATTGTTTCAAACCAAATCTTAGGACATGTTTATTAAATCATATTTTCAGCTTATCAATTTTATCCAACATCTTTTATCAAATACATAACTTTTGATTTTGAATGCTCAAATGTATAATAATAACAATAAACCTGGTTGAAGTTAGTCGTTTGGTGTAATTGGGTGAAATTGCTAAAGAGAACTATTTAAACTATTTTTTTACACAGTATAATTTTACTTTATTTTATAAATAAAATATATTCAAAAATTAATTTTTAGTACTTCATCCAATTCAGTTGATTCAGTTAGTTTTTTTATAAATTTTAATAGATTGAACCGATCCAGCCAATTACAATGTTTCCAAACGAACTCTAAATTTGATGATAATTAATTTTAGGAAAAATGACCACAATTTTATCTCTATACTTTTGAAAGATAAAAATACGACTAATATTCTGTTTGAAATGTGACTAACTTTTGTTTAATTAGTTTACCTTTTCTCTCATTAAATTGTAATCTCTACCAATACTTCCCATATCCCTGCCCACTATTGCCTGTAGCAATTGCCTCCAAAAAAACTGCTGGGAAAGTCATCGAATTTTTTTCTCAATGTGCATTAGCAATGGAGCCAAAGACTCACTATTTTTTGGCTTGAGAATATGATGGATTAAAGCAAAATAGTTCACTAAACTGTCCGCGCTTCATTGTTATGAACTTATGAAGTAGCAGTCAATCCATGCAATTTTGGACGCGATTTTCACTATGAGTCATCCGGAAACAGTCTCTATGTGCTTTACTACATGGGTAAGACTGTGTACATTCGACCACCCCTTACCCCACCGTAGGTGGGGGCCTTTGCGGCACTGGGGTAATGATAATGATGATGATGACATTGACATGTTTTTTAACAGTAGTGACTGATAACTAAAAATATGTGATTCTTATCATTTCACTTTATTTTATCTAAATTTGAATAATAACTTTTACCTTTTTACCATTGTATTAATAATGGTGGAAAACTAAAATAATACTCCCTCTGGTCCTTATTAAAGTTCTCACTTTCCTTTTCGGGATGTCTCTTATTTAAGTTCACACTTCCATTTTAGGAAACAAAATAGTGCAAAACAGTGCCAAACAGTGCCAAACAATGCACTCCACAGTAAAGTCAAATTTATTTTCTTAATCTGTGTGAAGTCAAACTGAGAACTTTAATAAGGACCGGAGGGAGTACATCCAATATAAGATGGGGTAGTATCAATTTGCTTTCTTGGAAGATATGAGCTCAGTCTAAAATATCTAGAGAATATTAGGACTACCGAAGGAATAAACAAGTAGTCATGTGGGTGTCTAATTATTTCGAGTAAGTTTAATATCGTCAACATATACAAGGTAGAGGAGAATAGTAACACAACTACATGAGTGAAGAAGAACAAAGAGGTGTCGTCATGGCAAGATATTTTGGAATTCAAGGTGAAGCAGATAAGTGCTAAATAGTTGGAACAAGGCTGGAGGTGCTTGTTTTAGGCCATAGTATGCCTTTTGAAACCGGCATACATGAGGGAAGCACGGGTCAAGACAATCAATAGGTTGCTCCATACACATTGGCTATCTAAAACACCATGTAGGAAGGCATTTTTAATTACTTCAATATCACATAGAGGCCAATTAAGCAAAACTTCAATGGCCAATACTACCCAAACAATAGTTGCTTTAACAACATAGCTATAAGTATGGGTGTAACCGAATCATGAAAGCTGTGTAACCGTGTGCCACAAAATAGGACTTTAGACAATCAACTGAACCATGGGCAAAACTTTTGGTTTGATAAACCCATTTTCAGCCAATAGTATTTGTTCCGGATAGACGTGGAACAAGATCCCAAGTATTATTTGTGCAAAGGGCAACCATCTCTCGAAGCACGGCAGCAACTCGTCCCACATAATTAGGTACAACCATCTCTCGAACCATTTGTGTCGTGTTTGAGCAATAAGACCACATATGAGACATGTAAATTCGCACATAGGAGAAGGTCAAGGTTTGAAGATGTCAGTCCCAGAACGAGTCCGGGGTAGTCCGGTTGCAGCAGTCCGACAGCCTGTCGCAGCACCTACTACTAAGCTTCAACCCGTACAAGGATGTTTTTGTCCAATCACAAATTATGACTTCTATTTAGGGAATTTAAACATTTTTTAAACTTTAAGTATGTTTTATCCCTGTACTGAGAATCCTCTCTGTTTTCTCTCCGTGAACTGAAATAAAGGTAGTGAACAAAAATATGAATTTTTGAACTGTAGTGACTTGTACTGACTATGACAGATGACAGTAACTATAGTGATAGTGATTATGATTATAGTAATACTTTTATTGATATCATTTCTATTATCTACCATTATATCAATATCATAATCATACAAGACCTTTGAAAGTACAGCAATCCACGAGTGCGACTTTGCTCGACAAAAACTCAAATTGGTCAACCCATCTCAAGTGTTGTATCGTTCTACTCATCTCGCGGCCCTTATACTTTAGCGCCGGACATCCTTAAGGTACATATAATTTGACAAGCTGTGTAAGAACTAAGAACAAGTTTGACATGTCAAATGATATAATTGTTCTTATATATATACATGGGAAAGGGGTATAATTGTTTACTTAAATAAGCATGAAGTATGTTTTTGTTGTTAAAGAAACATTTTTTAGTATAAAGTAACACTTGTTTTTTATGAGAAAGTGCTTTCACCTGAGAAAACTATTTTACAGCAGAATATTCATCCTTAAGATTGTTGTTTGATCAATTTTTCATATTTCTAGAAGAGTAACGTACCTAATTGGTATTCCCAATTCACATTTGGTTCACGTTTTTGTCTTTGATCTTTTTTGATACATGACTATTATTTCTTTCCGACATGTGGTTCCATCGTCGATATTTTTGACTCTAAAAATCACCACAGAGGTGCCACCATTGTGGCAGAAGGACTACACATGGACAGAAACCCATAGTAATGTACTTATAAGAAATGACATAAATACTAATAAGTGGAATTAATTCTTAATATTTCCATGTACTTATACATACAGCCTGATATAGCAGCTCCCGGAACAAACATACTAGCAGCATATATTTCTCCAAGTCCCACCATAAGTGCATACCATTTTCTCAGCGGGACATCAATGGCTACTCCACATGTGGCTGCAATAGTTGCCCTTCTCAAAGAAGCTCACCCGGATTGGTCTCCAACTGCCATCAAATCCGCCATTGTTACTACAGGTTACTATACTGCACCTAATTAAAATGTTATAAATGCATTCAGTAGTACTAAAATTAGCCTACTTTGTTAAAGTTACAACTTAAGTGATTGTTTGTCATGGCTTTAACATGCCAATATTTTCTAAGATTGACAAAAACTGCTCATACGGAAGGAAATACCATATGTTCTAGTTGAGAAACCTCAATCCAATTCTAAATTCTAATCATATGGACTTCCAAAGCAACAACTGGACAAATAAATTAGTGACTCGAGGCATGTTTCTAATACTCGATATTCTATGTTTATAACATCTTCTAGTATATGATTCTGTGTTTCCAGGATGGACAACTGACCCTTTTTCTGGAGAACCAATATTCAGTGAAGGAGTTACAGATACTAAATTAGCAGATCCATTTGACTATGGGGGAGGACTCATAAATCCCAATGCAGCTAAAAACCCTGGCCTTGTCTATGACATGGGAACAACTGATTATCTCCACTGCCTATGTGCCATGGGATACAACAGCACTGCCATTAGTCAACTTTCCGGTCAACCCATCAATTGCCCTGAAGGGTTTTCCATTCTGGACGTGAACTTCCCTTCTATAACCATTCACAACCTTAAAGGCTCAGTCACCCTAACCAGAATGGTGACAAACGTTGGGCCTATAAACTCTATATACAAACTTATAGTAGAACCTCCAAGGGGAATCAGTGTTTCAGTAAAGCCAAATGCACTGATTTTCACTCCAGATGTTAAGAACGTCTCTTTTACTGTGAGGATTTCCACGAGCTATAGGTATAACACTGGATATTACTTTGGGAGCTTGACATGGAATGATAGCCTCCATAATGTGCGAATTCCTTTATCTGTCAAGACTGTAATCAGTAGTAGTATATGACTTGAAACTTGAGGTTCTTGCAGCCTTATTATCTACTTGAGCTACTATCAAGAACTCGTATACCTTCAAAAGTATTTTCCATCTAATTAAAGTTAATATATATACAAAGCAGTATATAATTCGGATTGATAATACAAAAACAGAAAAGCAATCCAATATACTATCAGCCAAGCTCATAGCCTTGTGCCACCACCTGAATCCATGGTAGCATCCACATTCACAGATTCACTTTTATATAATACGTATCTGACAACGGTCTAGTACAGCCATCCTAACTTTTATTTTCAGTTTTGGCATTATTATATGTCTTGACAAGCTGAATTATTGGATTTAGGCCTTGGGAACATTACTATTAACCCCTTGAGGTTAAATCAAAATCACTAATTCAACATTACATTTTTAAAAATCAAATATTTATCCATCGAGTTTTGATTATTCTCACTATTTACCCTCCAATGAAGATTAATCATATTTAATGTCATAAGATTGTTAAACTTAATAAAAGCTTTCCAAAATATTTATTTATATGTCGAGATTATAAATCATATATATTTCCCGGTATTTAGTACTAAAATGAAGGGTACAAATGGAAAGTAACAATAAAGTTTCTGAAAATAGGACTAAATAAATTATGCCAATGGAAAACATAATTAAGTCTTACATTTGTAAACTTCCTATGATTTGGTACTAGTCATAGCAATTTTTTCTTGTATGTGTGTGTGTATACAAATGCTTTGTACTTGAATATGGATTTGTACTTGAATTAAGATGTATTTATATTTATGTGTGTGTATTAAAATGAGAATGATAGTGAGAGTACTTTTGTCTAAGGGTGGGCAAAGATATTGAACCGGCATGGTATCGAAACGGACTGGTATGGTACCGGACTAAAAACAGTATTTGAAACAGTTTCAATTTTTTGTCCTGAATCAGATCGTACCGGTTCCAAACCATGTCATGACCAGTTCTCATAAAATTAGAACTGCTACCGGACCAAATTGAAGTAAAGTTTATATAATTAATAATGATATGTACATGTATACCATTACTTTCACTTTCACGGCCTTTGCTAATTCATTGGAAGCCTATCGCTACTCGCTGCCAGGGGCAGATCACCATGTAAACCTATTATTTTTTTTATTAAATTAAAGGTATATATTTAACAAAAGTTTATGTTCAACCCAGCGAGTATGCAGTCACAGTGTACTAGAGTATCTCAAATTAAGGGTTTTGTGATTTCTATTTTATACTACTATCGCCATCCTAAAATGATGGTCTTGTATTTTCTATTTGAGGTGTTCCAAAATGTTAGTCACATTTTTCTTTTTGGTAAAGAAATTAAAATAGATTACCATTTATACCTCTCCTTTCTAATGAATAGTAAAAGTAAATGAGTGAACAGTACAATAAAGCAATGTTATATGTGTCCTATTACTCTTTGTTAATATTTGAGTCTTAAAAGTATATGGTCATCGATTTGGGACGGAGGGAGTACTATAGTTTATACGAAATTTATTAATTATTATGTAATATGAAAATTGATAAATTGTGTGGATTTTTGGAGGATGACTAATCTTTAATTTTTCGGAAAAAGTGGCATTGTTTATAATTTGATATTGGTATGACATTGTATAGTCTCGTTTGGAAATGGAATCGTACCGAACGGGTTTAGGTCTAAGACCAAACACAACCGAACTGTTTCAATAGTCACAGTATAGGTACGGGTTCAGTAAAATATTGGATCGGACCGGACCATGCCCACCCCTACTTTTGTCATAAAATAGGTGTATTAATGACGGTATTTTTTTATCATAGAATTAATATGAAGAAGAATAAATTTAGTTTATACTAGTATTAATGATGGGATTTTCTGTCGTACGAGATCATTTTTAGTGACGGTAAATACTAATTAATTACACTCTCATTACGTACTTATTAATGACGGGATTGATACTCCGTCATTATTTGTGTCGGGTTAATGGCCCAACTAGGGGTTCGACCCATTACCCCCCATCGATGAACGTCTAGGCCCAATCAAGGTGTTAGTCCCCGGCGGACGTCTACATAGCACCAAGCGCAATCATCCATCATTACCGACGTACGTCCCCACCCGGGATGCTCAGCCTCAGAGCAACTAGTACCAAGGTTAACCGGCATACTCCTACACCAACAACCAGGAGACACTACTAGAAAACTGTCTTACAGTGACACTTTTTTGGTGACACATTTTTAAAAAGTGTCACTGGTAGACGACTTAACTTGTTTCCGACATAGAAGTGTCACTAACATGTGATACTATGACATCAACAAATACTAGTGATACTAAATATAAATTTAACATTTTATTTTTATTTTTTTGGACACCAATTTTCCTCCTAATCCTAAATTCCCCTCCACAATTTTTTTATTCCCCCCAAAAAATTCATTTCCCCCCAAAACCTAACCCTTTCGGCCCTAATAATAATTCTAAACCGCAGCACTGATACCCTAGCTAGTTCATCAATTCGTACCATCTCAAACGCCATTAGCTTCCGCAGGCCACCTTCGATCTACGACCTCATCACCTCCGAATAGAAAACCTAACATTACCCTCCTCCCAATCATTCACTGAAGGATAACCATACCGCCTTATTCAGTTATCCGCTTATCTCCGTTATCGGTCTTCTTCCTCCTGAAGTCCGCAACTCTCTCCACAAGTCGCAGAGAACGGAGAAGCCGTAGAGCCACAGACGCAGAGGGATAATCCGCCAAGCCACTAGGTCGTTGATCGCTTGACTGCCAGCCCTGCCGCCTGCTGACCGCGTCTTGCCTTGCGCCTGAGTCGGCTACCGCTTCACGACCCTGCTCCAAAGTCAGTCCTGCAATCTGACAATTTCTATCTCTCTGAGATTCTTATTTTCCCTCCCTGAGAAGTTAACTCTCCCTCTAGCAAGCTAGCATGTAAGTTTTGTAGATTTTATCATTTAATTTCAGTATTTACTAATCTATTGTGTGATTTTCTCATTTTTTAATATGTTATACTCCGTATTACTTATATACTTATATGTGAATGGCTCGTGTAATTTCATTCGTGAATTGAAAGTTAGGGGTTGCAAACTTCTTAACATAATAAAATTTTGATATGATTATGTGATTGAAAATATGTTGAATTATTCCATAAATTTTTGTCAATTGAAGTAGCTAGGTCTGAAATCTGGCGTACCTTCCTAATACAAATTTCCATTGTATTCCGGAGTTCCTTAAAACCCTGCAAATCGCACTAGTTAATTAAGAGCTTCTTTGAGAACCTCTAAATCGGTTTTAGAGCCGCTGAGTGGAAAGCCTTAAATAATTAGCTGCTACTAAAGCTCCAGATTGATCTATTGAAAAAACCTGCTAAGGCTAGGTACATCATTTACTCCTGAAAGCAGCTTGGAATAAACAGAAAACTTGACTGATAACCAATTCCGAGTCTTTTGCTAATGTGCAACGCACTATATATGTTGCTTGCATTTATACTTCTTCATGTTGCATAAAAATCTCATTCTAATTTAGTCAAGGAGATGGACACTGATAAGGATTGCAGGTTGTCATGATGATAAAAAATGGTTGAATACCTATGTTTCAAGTGCTCAATTACAATACTTGTGTACAAAGAAATATTCTCATGTCTTGGACCTACAAGGTCCATTTCTATACCATGTACTAGAAGAATGTTTCTAATACATAACACAGTGAATTTAAATACATCACTGCTTTATCCTCTATAATGCAGAGTATGAGTACTGTATTTCATTTTTGTTTTTGTTTCCAGATTTAAGTGGAAGATGCCAAACTGCTATTGAGGTTGCTAAAAAGTATTACTTTAACTCCATGCTTCTGTAATGTGTTCATAAAATGATTTCATTTCAACTTTCTTTTCAGGTTTACTACTTCTAGAACGAATAGATTTTTTTACCCTCTATTTAGCTTATTATGGTTTGGTGGGATTCTTGCAGGCATTTGATTTTGAGGTGCAAGTAAGATTATCTAAAAAAAATTCAACCTGGGAATATCATCATTCCTCCTCTCAAAATCCTTTAGGAAACAAGGGTTATGAGATTCATTTTGGGTGTCTTCGTAACTGGTCTATTCACCATTACAATTTTAAGCAGATGAGTATAGTTTGATGTTTAATTGATTTTTTCAACCTTGCACCCACTCGCAAATGCAAAAGTGAGTTCCATTGGCTATTTATTATTTCCATATGCAGCATATGACTATGTTGTATCCACATCAGCAATAGGCGATGGCATGAATGCTACCACAGTCAAGGTTAGTGTGGGTGTGATTCTTGATTGGAGTCACTACAAGAAAAAGAGGTTTTTGCGTCCAATATTTTCGCGTCAACCAAGTCAACCCAAATAATTAGCTTTTTGAGTTGACATTTGGAGACCAAAAACAGCTTAAAAAATATATCGGAGATACTATTTGTGTGGACGCTAATATGCCTATTAAGCAACACAGGTTTGTATTCCTATATACTAAGATGTTCTTAAGAAACTATTGATTGAGTAATTATATGGCATCTCTTCTCCACTGAGTCCATTATTTGCTAGGTGAAAGAAGATGGTCAGTGAAGCAACTTTCATTTGATATTTTAAGAGATGTCAGGTAGCGCTGACCACCTTTCATTTGACCTCAATTTGATATTTTAAGATTGATAACTCTAATTTAGAAACGAAAACTTGACTTCTAACTTGATTTCTTGTGATCACTTTATTATAGTATTTTCTAATTTACCCTAATTTCTTTTGTTTAAAGTCAAGTAATGAACCATTATGTAGTTTTCTATTAAGTGAGTCCTGAACAAGAATGGTCAAATGCCTGTTGATGCGGGTTTTTTTCTTGTGGTTTTTTATTATGTCTCGCCTAATCAGGGATTCAGGGCTTGTCAAATCAAAGGAACTGCAGACTTCTTATGTTTACTTGATAGATGTTGGGGTGTTCATTTTAAAAGGTATCATCTCTTGTTGTTGCTTCGTATATGGCTTTCACTTCATCAGTCTGTTACAAAGCAATGAGTTTTATTTCTTCCACCATTCAATAATGCAGTTTGCCTGCTTGGTTGCTTTTCCACAGGTTTGAGAAACTTGGCTTGTTAAACATGGAGTTAGCCACATTAGTGCTGCATCTTTGGATTATCATTTGAGTGCATGCAACATACTTCTTTCTCTTATTTGATCTCTTCACTTTGCTTTAAATTTGCAGGC